ATGAAGGTGACCTTTACAGCTTGCTAAAATTCACAAATGTTATGGTTTTGTTGATGCTTCTGTATTTGCATCAAGCTCTAAAAGAAGTTTCACAACTGTTGTGAAAACTCTAAAGCATTTGCTGGTTGTCAGCTGCTGCATATTGTAGGGGGTAAGAACTTACGTTAAATCTCAGCAGCTTTTTGTTTGATGCTAAAAGTAGCAACCCTAATAACCTGTGATTTTAGTTTGGCGTTGCTATTTTAAGCTCACATTCAAAAGAAATATGAGTACATGCAAGAACAGCAGACTTCATGAAAACAAGTAAATGTCTTTTACTTGGCACCTGCTTCTGACTCTCGAAGTGAAACTTGGGGGAGTTGCTGGTCTTGTTCTAATGACGAATCAGGTTACAGGCTTATCAGAGTACACCAAAATGTTGTTCAAAACAAGCAGTTCAGCTTTCCAGAGGTGACCAAGTGTCTTTGTTAGCTGTGGTTATGATGATTTCACAATTTATGAGTTGTGCACTGTGATTGTTTTTAATTTAACAGCACACCCAAGTGGCCAAGCAAAGGCATATCACTCTCTACTGGCAACAATTTACCCGTGGTGAATCTGGCAAGACCTAGATTTCTTACGCTTCGAATATAGTTACCAATATACAAAACCTTACTGGCTAAGCAAATGTTCTTCTGCCAAGCTCCAAAGCACAGTCTTAAAGAAATGTGGTTTCATGCTTGGAACAGAAGTCTGGGAGTTGGACAATCTGGATTCTATTTGCAGATATGCCACAGCCTCGTTCCATGCCTTTAGCCAAATAGCTTGAGATCTGGTTTTGAGAGGTACACTGGGGAGTTCAGGCAGCACCCCCTCACTCTTGGAGTTTGTCTTATTTTAAAATAAGCTTTCAAGCTGCCGCTTTCGCAAAGTCAGAGTTTTGAACTGTAACTTTTTTGCTACTGTTTTAGGAGTTCAGTGCCAAGCCACAACACACCCGATTTACATAGAGCTATAAATAATACATGTATTTTTTCATCCTTTCACAGAAAGCGTGACTATGAAGGGTTTCTGTGTTCTCTGCTGTTGCCTGTGGAATCTCGAACCTCTGCTTTTGCCTTGAGAGCCTTCAATGTGGAACTGGCCCAGGCAGGTATTAAAATACATTTGTGAACTCTGGAAGTGTAAAATAAGAGTTTCAATAGTGCAATACAAACCTCTAATTTTGAATGGCCTGTGGAAAGTAGCCAGTCTCCCACCGTTTATTTTGCATATATGTGCATGGTTTTGCTGACTTTTCATTGTACATTTTAAAATCGAATGATAACAAACAGGCTGTGGTCCTTGATGCTGTTACATAATTGCATCTATGTCCTGGCTTCAAGTGCAGCGACTGAATCAATTAAGTGCAGCTAAATCCTATCTGTTGAAGGTCTGTAAAAAAATTTGGATGATATAATCGGTTGGCAAAAGCCTTGGCAAAAGCCAGGTGATGCAAAGGCTGTGGGGAGGGATGTTTGTCTTTAGGGAGTTGTGGGAGGGAAGTGGCTGCAGTCTTTCCCCTTTGCTAGGTGGCCAGAAACTGCCAGGACAACCAGGAAAGTTGGTAATGCTTGCCAGAAAGGAGTGGTCCAAGAAATGTGCTGATCAAACAAAACCTCTGAACAACTTCTGCAGGCTGTGCTGGCAACCAATTGCACTGCCCGCCCTCACTGCTTTTATCACTGCTTCTTTTCCTTCTGGGAAAACAGCTAAGGTGAGGGTCACACAGGGCTTAATCTCCATGGGTTTCAAAGTCAGGCAGAATGAAGACTTTTTTGTGTGCTTTATGAGGAAAACATAGGGCCACAAGCATCATCAAAGGTCTGGAGCATCTCTCTTATAATAAGAGATTGCGGGAGCTGGGCCTGTTTAGAGAAGACTGAGAGGGGGATCTCATTAGTGCATATAAATATCTCAAAGGTGAGTGCCAGTAAGATGGTGCCAGACTCCTCTCAGTGGTGCCCAGCGACAGGATGAGGAGAAATGGCTGTAAACTAAAACACAAAAGGCTTTGCCTCAACATGAGGAAGAACATCTCTGCGTTGAGGGTGGCAGAGCACTGAAACAGGCTACCCAGGGAGGTTGTGGAGCCTCCCTCTCTGGAGGCATTCAGAACCTTCCTGGAAGCATTCCTGTGTAACCTGCTGTGGGTAACCCTGCCTTGGCAGGGTGATCTCCGGAAGTCCCTTCCAGCCCTAATGATTCTGTGATTCTGTGGATAACTGTGAATTCAGAACTGATCACTTTCCCTACTGAGTTTGGCTATGTCCTGTGTCTGTCTTTTTGTGTAGATAGACCAAGTGCCTTAAAGACACTGAATTTCACTCCAGATGTATCCTTTCCAGATCAAAGACTCCATAACTCAGAAGACTACAGGTCTGATGCGAATGCAGTTCTGGAGGGATGCTGTGGAAGGCATATACTGTGATAACCCGCCACATCAGCCGATTGCTACAGAACTGTGGAGGGTAAAATACACTTTTGTTGCCCTACAGTTCACTTAACTAAAATATTACTGTGGAAAATGATGACATCATTTTGTGTGTACTGTGTTGTATAGTTAATAGCATTATTTTATCTAAAACAGATAGTGTAAATTATTCTTGTGTCTGTGTTTGATATTGTAAATTGCTGACAGCCAAAGAGCAGAGTTGAAGGATATTTAGGACCTAGTTGGAGGGTCAGACTTCTGTGAACCATCTGCTTTTTTCTCTTCTGTTTAGGTGAAGGTCGGAGTAAATTGTGGTAGGCTGTAAACTGATACAAAGTGAGGTGCATAAGTATATTGTCCTGAGCCAGTGCTAGTCCTGCCTGAAGAGATTAAGCTGTACAAAAGACAGGAGGCTAAGCACAGAGGCTGCCTGAAGAGATTAAGCTGTACAAAAAGAAAGGAGGCTAAGCACAGAGGTTGAAGTAGCAAGTAGGGTATGAGGAAAAGCTCAGGACCTTCATACACACTTACTGGGTAGTAGGGAGAATCTTAATACAGTCTTCTCCCATCAGAAGTTGTTTGATGACTTCTATCTGTGTGTTATGTTTTGCACAGATCCTTTTGTATGCATTGTGTGGCAGAGAATGTACCTGTGAACTTAACAATGCATTGAGTAACAGGGAATGTACTTGTGAACTGAACACCAGTTTATTTTTACCAAGATGCCAGGGTTTTGCAGGCACTAGAAGAAGTTCATAAAGAGTACACTTGCAGATCTGTTCTTCTGCTGCTCATGATCAAAGAAAGAGAGGTTTTCTTCCAAAATTTTGTTTCTAGATAGTACTGTCATTGGTAAGTTTGATTGATGATTGAAGGTCTGACGGCAGTGTAAGTGGATTTTCCCTTGATGCAGATAGAGAGCCACATAATAATGTAGTTGGTTGGGCTCTCGTCATCTAGTCAAACTTGCCACTCAAAGGTAACATCAAACTTAGATCAGGTTGTCAGGGTCATATTGATTTAAGTTTTTAATTTCCTCATGGATGGAAATTCCATACATTGCTAACTTGTCATCTTAGGGCCCTGCAAGTCTTAGAACCCTTCAAAATGAGCAGGTACCATAAGGCCTCTATAAGACCAGAACTTGCATTTAGACTAAAGATCTGTGAGCTCCTGAACAGGAAAAGCTGCTCTTTGTCTAGATCTCAATAGCTGAATACAGTTAACATAAATCTTGTAGGTAGGTTTGTGGGCCTGCTGAAAAACAGGCAGTGAAATGCCTAGTCTTCACCCAAGTACTCATCTGCATTGTTTCTGTTAAAATCCTGTGAAAAGCAGGACACTTACTGTAATGCTGGATTAGAACAACACAGTTCCTGTGGGATTAGAACATTTCACATCCACTCTGCTGCACTTCTGAGACCACAAAAATGAGGCCTTTTCAAATCCTCTCTCAATGATTTTGGCAGTGCTGAAACTGTGGCCTCTCCCTGACTCTTCCGCCTTCAAATGTGAAATAAAGCATAAGTGAGCATTTGTTCCTGTCTGTCAACACACATGTTTAGATTAAGTTGGGATTTAAACAAGATACACTTTGTTTGACTAAAGAGAAAACATCAGTAAAGCCAAGAAGTAAAATAAAACACCCGTTACAGTAACTTTTAGGAGGACTAGACCTATTCATAGGTGTCTCCAGCTCATACAGTTAGAATGAAGACTCGCAAATGTTGTGAACGTTTTTCTGGGATTATGGGAGTTGAAAATGCACCTAGGGTGATACTTTAATGCAGGCATTAAAATGCAGATTTGGTCATTGGCATGTCAACCTTTGTGTGTCTTTGCTTTTGATTTCCGTCTTTCTGTCTCTCTTCCAGCATATGGCAATCTTCCCAGGAAAAAGACTGTTTTCTCCCAAAATGCTTTTGTCTTTTTTCCAAGGAGGAACTTGATTTACTGTAGCTTAATTTAGTTTTATTTCTGAAGATATCCTCTCATGTAGTTGTCTGATTGAGTGGGTTAGGTACAAGTTAGTTTTGGGTATGATTGTATATATTCTTTGGACCAGTTTTAATTTCAGGCTGCTTGGGTGTATACCCATGTGTGTGGGGGGTGTTTTAATGCCCAAACAGTCTCTGAGCAGAGGCCTTGCCATGGCCAACCTCCCTCCCAGTTTAATTGCTGAGCATGATGTCATACGGTGTGGAATATACCTTCAGTCATTCAGGATCAGCTGTCCCAATCACGTTGCCTCCCAGATCCTTGTGCACTCCCAGCCTGCTCACTGGTGGGGTGGTGTGAGCAGCCCAAAAGGCCTTGAAGCTGTGTAAGCTCTGCTCAGCAGTAACAAAAACATCAGTGTGTTACCAACACCATTTTCAGCACAAATCCAGAGCATTGCCCCATGTAAGCTACTATGAAGAAATCTAGTTCTATCCCAGCCAAAACCAGTACAACATTTAGATAGGAACCATGCATATATTGAGGTATCGGTTGCAGCCCTTTCCAACAGCTGACTGCCAGTCATACTCCTTTCTCAAAAAACAGAAAGAATTGCCCTATCTCTGGTAAGATTTCACTTCACATATGATTTCCCTAAAGGAAGACCAATATAAGACAATCCAAACAGAACTGGTTGTGAAAGGAGATACTGGAAAATAATTCAGAAAGTGTTTCTAGGAGCTCTGGTAGCTTTGAATGCTGCAGAGTGCTGGACTGAACTAACAATCCAACCTGAGCTGGTGACCTTTGCACTCAGGATGTGATTTCATTTCTACGTTTCAGCAAATACCCAGGAATGACCGATTTGAAGAGTGGCTTTCCAAATGTTCCAGAATGTTATTGCAGTTCTTAGAAAGAAAGGTTTGGGAAGACACCTTAGCTCACAAGTATTGCAGAGCTGTTAATAGAATTCAGCATGTCTTTTGCACAGCAGATTTTATGTACACCATTTTCATACTGTTGAGTTTGTGTGAGGATAATTTTGAATTTCCAGAATAATGATTTATCACGTAAAATATATTCCTGAAGTTTTGTATATATCAGAATACTCACATTCAGATTCCAAGAGTTTTATGCACTAGTAAAATGTGTAAGTAGTCTTTAATAGTATTTCTAGGATTATTAATAGTTCATATTTCAGTGACTTTAATATAAACTTATGTAACAGCTGTATGATACTTGTTCTTACTTATCTGTCCATTTTTAACATACGAAGAATGAGACCTAATTCTCCTTTTCTGTGGGAGAAGCCAATTTCCGAAACTTGAAAAATGAGGACCAGTATATTTGAATGAAGGTGATTCAAAATAGATATAATGTACAAATCAGGCAATTTAGGAGAACTCAGTTTGGTGCGTTAAGTCTTGACCTGTGACTGTTTCAAGGATTTAATTTACAATACTCAGGACGAACAAGTGAGAAGCACGACTGACGTTTGTAGTGGTAACTTCGAATTTGCCTTTTCACATACCAAGTGCTTCCTCAAGCACCTTTTCTGGAATCAACAAGATCTGTTCTTGATGAACCTTGAAAAAATACTTACAAATATAATGGATGTAAAGAAGAAGTTGAAAGTGAGCTATAAAGGCTGAGATTGTGAGAAATCTGTTCCATAAGTTTTGTTTATAAATACTGTATGTGTGATTGCAGCCTTTCTGACAATGTGGTCTGCAAAATTCAGCCTGTGTAAGTAAGAGGATTGAAGGTGAATTGGATTGAATGAAGTGGTGTAGGAAGAAGGTCAATTACAAGATAAGAGCTAGAAGAAGAGTGTGGAAATACGAGATGCTGTGGGATAGTTTTTTTTTATAAGGCCATAATACTGAATATTATCTGACTTGATTGAGTGCTGTCTTTACAGTACATATTGGTATGTTGTACTGATGTTTTCTTGAAAATTTACAGGGGAAGTCTTTTTACTGCTCATCTCTCAAGGAACCTGTCTTCTCTTTGGAAAGTGAACATAGTTATCTGCAAATATTTTGTGGGAACATATGACTCCATAAAAGAATAAATTACTTTAAAAAAATATTTTAAAACAGATGCTCTCACTGCACTGGCTTGATGCCCAACATTGCGTTTTTTGTGTGCAACAGCTTGTAACAAAGCCAGTTGAAAATTTTTGTATCTGAAGAAGTTTCTAATTTTCCACTTTGATCTAACTCAGTAAATACAATCCTGGTAAGAAAAAGCTTCTCTAAAATATATTTCAGCCTTAATTCAGAATGCAGTACTGCCATCACTTTGTGTACATTAATATGGATGTTTTATTGGTAATTTTCAGGCTGTCAAGAGGCATAACTTGACTAAAATGTGGTTTATGAAGATCATTGATGAAAGAGTAAGTATTTACCATTCAAAGTGTGATTCTGGTTTTAGTCATAGTAGGGGTTTTCCCCCTTAATTTTGTTTGCTTGTGTGTAAAAAGGTTAAGTAATTACTCTTTTCCAGACAGCAGTGTTTCTCTTTAAGAATGGCACTGCTGTATTTCCTTTTTGACATTCCCACTCATAATTTCTGTTTTTTTTTCTGGCCGAAATGGCTAATAGAATCCTTTTTTTATTTTTGCTTTAGAATAGATGTAGTTTTTTGTTGACACGGGAGTCACAGACAACGCAGAGACGATCAATGTGATCAAGCGATTGCCAAAGTTATTACAAAGCCTTAACTCCTTATATACTATTTCTTACATGTACTTACAGTGATTTGGCATATTATGATTGGATACATGTCTTGAAGACCCTTAGTGACTAACATATAATTGGTTAAGCACAGGTGTGAGAACTTGACCTCGAAAGCTTGCCAACAGTCCACAGTTCTCATTAAGTCAGTGAATTCCAGCTTCTTATCTTGCTTGCTTAAGCTTCTTCAGGCCTCTCATGGCCTGCTGTATCTTTCAGGATTATTCAGAGTTTGTGTACTAATTGTGTATTCTCCCGTGAGAACACTGTCTCCACATCTCCCCCTTTTTGTTTTATATATGTTTTGGATGACCCTACTTGAGCAGGGGATTTGGGCTAGATTGTATCTCCAACATATGCCAACTACAGGCTGCTGGGCCTGCCCCATTTTTCTGCTGTATGGCTCTCTGGTAACAGGGGAGGCCATCCTTCACATCAAGGTCTGGCATGGCATGTGTCCCCACCGCTCCACGCCTGCTGGGTTGCAGCCAACAGCGGAGCTAAAGGTTCTTCTTGGTGGCAAACACAGAGGCCAACCCAGCCTTGCCCTTGACTGTGGTAGCCGGCATTTTGTCAGCCTCAGTCCTTGCACCTTGTTGTCAATGCAGAGTTTCACCTGCTTCATCCAGTAACAAGTCGCTAGTACAGCAAGGCACACACAGATTTACATTAGCAGAGCAACTATAACAGGGTGCAGCAGCAGTTGAAAATGCTGATGGCAGCGAGGGACTAGACGAAGAAATTTCTTACCAGTGGAATTCTCCCACCCTCTTAATTTGTTCCATCACCTGCTTTATAACACTACCATTGTATTAGAATCTTTCCAGCTTTTGCCTTAGCATTTTCTAGCAGCTACTGCAAATTTCCATACTCTAACATCTCTTTTACACGTGACAAATCTATACAATACAAGGTGTAGTTCCTCATTAGCAACTGGCTAGTAAATACAGGTGGTTTTATACACAAAATCACAGCCTCTAATAATAGGTACTTTACAAGCACACATATTCAGGATGTTACTTTTCAGTTGCCCCAAGTGATGTTTTGCAATCACTAGTTTTTCTCTTCCTCTATCTCATTCTGCTTGGGGTATTCACAGTCAGCTCCTGTAGCTGAGGCATCAGGTCTTTCCATTCGTCTGTCCAGCTCATGGCAAGGCTTGACAAACTTTGCAGGCAGTCGCCATGGACCTGTAGGCAGGAGGACACAAATATAGCCCCTCCTCCAGGTTATCAGTTCTTGAGAAGCAGACAGGTTAAACTGCACATTGTTAACAGTCGAGGAGTTTGCTGCATCATTGCCTCATTTTTTTTTATTATTTTTTTTTTCTGCCACCCTGGTGCTGCTTAGGTGACGGCTCATAAAGCTTGTGGGTGCACTACCCCTCTCGCTTTTTCAGTTAGCAGTTCTTATTTCAACTGATCTATCTGTTCCTCCAAGTCTTGGATTCACCCCCAGGTTACCTTAAACATACAAACATACTAAGCAAGGCTCCTACCATGCACCCACTGTATTGCAGGTGCTCTTTAGGCTTTGTCTGTGGTGTCTCTACAAACTGCCTCAATACCTCAATAGATTGAGAGGTTGGGTTTTGTGTTGTTGTTTTTTTGTTGTCGTTTGGGTTTTTTTGTTTTGTTTGTTTTTTTCCCTTTACTCCTCGGCTCTGGCGCTGGCGTCCATCCTGGCCGTTCCACCGGTGGAGCACTGGGAGCTGAATCGGAGGTCAGCATTTTTTTTTTTTTTCCAAAGTCACTCACCCTGCTTTGGACAGCTACAAATGCCAGCCTGCTCAGCAGCAGCTACAGATGCCTGCCTGCTTCAGCAGCAGCCATAAATACCTGCCGGCAACCGCACTTTTGCATTAACCCTTTCTTGCCCGAAATGTTAAACTGCTACCGGTTAAAAACTTCTACATGAACCCAACAACAAAAATACACAGAACACTGTCTGCCCTCAACACACACACACATATGGGATCCCACAAGCACACTCCACACAAGTACAATATTTGAAACACAAAATCCAGACAATCATTACTCCCACTACAGTCCCACGTACAGAATGTGGCACAAGGACCCTGTGGAGACTAACAGGAAACCAGCTCCGAGAAGCATCATTGCAGTGCAAGGTGGCAGGCCCATCCTTAGCGGGCGTCCCCGCAGAGGCTCTGCCTCCCCCACAGCGCATGAGGCTTGGGCTTTTATACTGACCAAAATGCACACTCATTCCAACACAGGTGGCCAGCAATATCTTTAAAGGTCTCCAAAGGTCGATAGAAACCTGGACATACTTATATTTACCAACTTCTAGTACATGAGTGTCACAGAGAAACTGTATTAAATGAGTTGTATAAGGGGTCCCAAGTCCACAGTCCATCACAGTATGCCCAATACCCCTGATAAGAGAATAAGAGAGACCTTCCCACCACCAGAAAATCACACAATACGTCTGTATCCCGCGCTGATCTCACTTCCCTGTAGGTTTGGGGGAGGGGGGCGTGGGGGTGGGTGGTGTTTTTTTGTTTGTTTTTTTTTGGTTTTGTTTTTTTTTTTGTTTAAAGTAAAAAAGGTTGCTCCCTTCACTTTAAGAAGGACTGAAAACATCCATAAAACGGAAGTTCTAAGCTCAAATTTCAATTCATTCAATCACTGATAAGGGGTGTGTCCTGGAGCGGTGCTGACTCTTTCCAGGGTTTCACCCATCGAGCTGGCACCCACTGCAAACCGGAATCTGTAATTTGCACACATATAACCTCAACCACTTAGTTTTACTTCCGCAGGACCTTTCCAGATGCCGGTTTCCAAATCCTTGTACTGGACCAGAATACCCAGAGTTTTAGTCATATAACCTGAACCTAATGCCTGACCGTGTATTATAGCAGGGGGATCATTAAAGTCTCCTGTCAATTGTAAAAAAAATCCTAACATACACAGCTTGAGTATAAGAGGATTTTAACCTATATGTGGTCACTGCTTGTCAGGCCTCCTTAACTATTTTGAGATCAAAAGCTTCCCACTCTTTACCCCCTGCTGTGTATTAAACACAGGATATGCAGAGAGGCCCATTGCAGAAAATTCACCTGTAATAATCGCATCTTTGATTAACCCGTGCCAACGGTGTGCAGGATTTGTGCCTCCCAATACCTCTCCTGCCCCCTCCCCCTGTTTGCCTTCTTTAAGGAAGGGGTTTTGCAGAGGATAAGGTGGTGGAACTGATAGAGATGTGTCAGTCTGAGTCTCGAGGGCTTCAAGCTTTTTCATCAATTGTTGCAGCTGAGTGTCTCCAAGGCCAGTGAGTAGTGGCTGATGAGCTGAGCAGACCAACCCGGGAGACGAAGAGTCAGAGTCTGGAAGCACAGGATATAAATCTGGCTCGGATTCAGGGGATGCGGAATATGATCCTGGGTCGACCTCAGGGTCTCCATTGTTTGCAGCTATGTCTTTCTTGTCAGGTGTCTCGTTTGGTATGTGGCCATCTGCGGACCTGGCTCTTGCTTTCATTGGCTCGGGGCGTTGATTTTTTCGGTGCCATTCCAGGTACCACAGGAGGTGCAAAAGTCATAGCCGCAGCACTATGATGGGGGTTAGGGGAGACAGCCCCTTCTGGAGCTGTGGCAGCAAATACAGAAGCTACCGCCACCCTTTCCAATTTCATCTCTTTCAAAGTCTCGAACACCAATCTCCAAAGTGTAGAGTGTTTCTGTGCATCTTTGGTCCCTTTACTAACCTTGCGATCATAGGACCACTTTAACAGCCTCTGTAAGGTGGCACTATCATATTGCAGTCCTCTCTTAGAGAGTATGTGCTGGGGGAGGTTTAGGACAGCCCCTTGCTCTTTGTCCAACCCCATTCTCCTCCCGACCGCTCACCTGATCAGAGTGAGATTTCCAACTATGAGTGCACTCCTTCTCCTTCTGAACTGTCTATTTTTCTGGTTCCAGCTCATCCTGCCGGGGCAGCAGGGGTTCATCGGTCGCCTTCCCGCCTCCTCTGCTGCTTCTATCTTCAATTGCAGCAGGCAATATACAGATGATCTGAGGGTCCCTGTTCGGGCACCATTTGTTGACGCGGGAGTCACGGACAATGCAGAGACGATCAATGTGATCAAGCGATTGCCAAATTTATTACAAAGCCTTAACTCCTTATATACTATTTCTTACATGCACTTACAGTGATTTGGCATATTATGATTGGATACATGTCTTGAAGACCCTCAGTGACTAACATAATTGGTTAAGCACAGGTGTGAGAACTTGACCTCGAAAGCTTGCCAACAGTCCACAGTTCTTATTAACTCAGTGAATTCCAGCTTCTTATCTTGCTTGCTTAAGCTTCTTCGGGCCTCTCATAGCCTTGCTGTATCTTTCAGGATTATTCAGAGTTTATGTACTAATTATGCATTCTCCCGTGAGAACACTGTCTCCACAGTTTTTGAGTCCACATTTTCTTGTCCTCTGCTCTGGTAATATCTGTGCTCACGTTTTCTGTTTGCTGGTCTCGGTTCCCGAGTTGAAATGGTTACCCCTAGAAGTAATCCATTGGGAATTATACTTAGATACCTTTCTGTATGTAAGTGGGGGGAGTTCCATCCTATAGGATTAAGTAGTAAGGTCTCCACACACAACTGTTAAGAATTTTGGAAAACTACACTGCATTGACATTACCTTACTCTTCCTCACCTCTTTTCTCACCATGTCAGTATTGCCCTTGAGTAGCCTTCTGTAGTGGTGAGCCATGGGTGTAAAACCTCAAAAATTAAATGACCCATCTGCACCCTTCTGCCACACGTTGTTGCTTCTCCTTAGCATGGCTGTGGAAATTTTTCTAAGCAATGCTGTAAATGAAAGCATTCCAGTCACATTAATTTTAAAATGTCCACTCTTTTTCTAGGAAAAAAACTAAGAGGAACAGTTTCACTGTGCTTGCAAGGGCAAGAATGAATAACTGAGGGCAGGGATTTCTTAAGCTAGCTTTTCTGCTAAAGTTAGTGTCTCATGAAGATATACCTTGAGTCAGTTACTTGTGGAGTGTTGTTCCTATTTCAGAGGGTTTTTTTAGTTGTAAGACTGGTGTGATTTAACAACAAAAGCCACTAGGGCAGGAAAAATGATGGAGGATGTTACGGTTTTGGATGTATTTGCATATGACTTTGAAACGTGTGTATGATTTATTTTAGTGCATGTTTTAAAAAATGCATCCCTATTTATCTAAATTTCTTTATGCTTCTCATGAAAATTAAGTATTAAAATTAGCAACCCCATAGCGTAAGAATATCATATGTTTCTTTCTTCTGACTGTATCCATTTTTATGAAGAATTCTGATTTCTTCTTACTGCAAAAAGTTACATCTGTTCTAGTAACCAGACTTGGCTGCAGTTGCATGTAGTTACCAGTTATTTGGTTATGTTAGACTTGCTGTAACTACTTCTGTCTGTGTTTATGCTCTCTTTCTACCTCTTAATTTTGTCCTTTTGTTTTTCTAATAGTGATTTAGGCTGACATGACCGTATTAATAAACTGGTGCAAACAGGAGTTCTGTTTACATTTCACTGAAGTTCTGTATTACAGAATGTAATATTAGCAAATATAATAATGTAATAACAATATGTAATATTGTTCATATTATAGGAGAAGAATTTGGATGACAGGGCATACCGTAACATCCAGGAGCTTGAAAAGTATGCTGAGAACACTCAGAGTGCTCTCTTGTACCTCACCTTGGAAATGCTGGGTAGGCATTTTCCCCTTTTAAATTTTGTTGGTGACTCTGAGTGCAGGTACAATATTTACTGGTGTTTATAAAAAGCCCACTCCTTTTCCACTGGAGTTTAATTTCAGAAGAGGTTGTTTTAGATGATACTTCAGTTATCTTTTGAATGCTTAACCATAAATCTGGAATCATACCTAGAACTCTATACTTTCCTTAGGAGCTGCACAGTGGAAAGTGCATTAAAGTGCAACTTCGTGCCGCTGTGTTGTTTGTTACTTTGTTTTCTCTTTTCTTGCTCCCTGTGGTAAATTTAACTCTTCACCGTATTTTCTGATTGTTGCACTTGTCAGAACACCAAGTGCTGTAGTTTATTCTGCAGCTTTTCTTCTGTATTGCAGTGATATACACTGGTTATCTTGAAACAGCTGACTTCCCAACTTTCCTTGCTTATGATGTACATTTGGGTCTGAACTCTCTCCTCTTCCTGAAAGTAGGTTAACTCTCAGTGATTGAATAGCTAGGGAAAATGCAACAAAGACGATAGGACTCTTGTGATTAAGAGCTACTATCTGTGTTATGTCTAATAGAAGAGTCACAGAATGGGAAAGAACTGTTCATTTGCAGTGGGGAAAAGGATGTTCTTTTAGGTGTCTTGTTGCATTGTGGAAGTATTCTCTGTATGACTTCATATGTAAAAGAAGGGTGAGAATTATTATTATTTAGTAGCATTTAGTATTGTAGTAGCAATATATTCCTCTTCCTTACCACACTAGTCTGATGGAAGGCCAGTGCTGTGGTTAAAACAGCTTAAAAAGAAAAAAAAGACAAAGAGAGATATGGTGAGCACATTCTTCTTTGGAAGAAATGAGGAACCTCTCTCTTGACATCTGATGTTTACTTCCTCAGTATGAAATCAGTTAAATGTTGCAAGTGTCTTTCTGAACATCTGACAGAGAAATGTTAATTTTCCATTGCTTTGGTGATGAGATTCAATTTGCCATGCTACTGCCTCATTGCCCATGACAGCACAAGGGAGGCAGCAGAAATACAGTTTTGGGGCAGGGGACATAGCTGTAGGACCATTCTCTTGGGCTTCAGTATACTGCTGAATTGGCTGCAGCTAATCATGAAACCATTCTGTAAGCATTAATGCTTGTCAGGAATCTTACACTTGAATTATTCTTCTGGAAGGAAAAACAGTTCTTGGAATACTGTTATCCTGGGAAAAGACATGACAGTGAACATGTGTATGTGTACTGATGTATTGGATCTGAGTACTGATGTATTGTATCTGAGTAGGTGCTACCCTGTTAACTATACCCTTTGCAGAAACTGCAACAAGCTAAGAGATATCTTGCTCCTGAATGTGGAAGTCAATGAATTTACCTGCTGCTTTGCAACTCTGAGATGAGATCTCAAGGCAATTTATGAACATAGACAGTTTTAGCACAGATCAATGCACTTAGCTTTCCTTAAATATGACTGTGATACACATCAGGAAAGACTGTACCCCTCAAAAGTCCTGGCAGTATGTTTCTAAACATATTATTTCTGCAATTTTAGGTGTGAGGGATGTCCATGCTGACCACGCAGCCAGTCACATCGGGAAAGCACAAGGCATAGTTACCTGTTTAAGAGCAACTCCGTATCACTGTACAAGACAAAAGGTCTTTCTTCCCATGGACGTTTGTATGTTGGTAAGAGAAGCAAGTTGTCTGGAATTGCACAGGATAGTGTTTATGACTGTGTCTCTCAATGCTAGATATGAGAACATAGATTATTAGGCCAGAAACAAAACATGCAGAAAATTAGTGTGTAGAAATGCACATACGGAATGGTGCCTTTTTTTGTTGTTGTTGCTTTGCTTTATTTTGGATTTTTTACCTTTTTTCTTTTCCTATCCCCATGAATCATAGAATCATAGAATTTTTTACCTTTTTTCTTTTCCTGTCCCCATGAAGGAAGCACTGTGAGAAATCTCACTTCTGAAACATCCTTGGGTTTCTCTGTGCTATCTTTTCATAAATGTGCTGGTGGATTTGGGTGTTTTTTGGGGCTTGTTTTGTTTTTTTTCTTACATATTTGAGAGCTTGAAGCATACATTCCATATATTGCTGTATGAGATGGTGTAGTCCTGCGAATTCTGCAGTTCAAACTGTATACTTAATTTGCATTGGAATTTGGCAGATCTTGCAATTTGGGTAAAATGGGATTAAAGATTAAAATGTTTTAATTAATATTCTCTAGCTAGATCTGTAGGTATCCTAGCTGTTACTCCTTCATCAAACATTAATGCTGTTCTTTTTATTTTTCACCAAAATGTATATAATTATGGTGATGCTTAAGGCAGTTGTGTTAGTATTTTCTGACTATTGTTTCAATACAATTGAAAGTTTTAATTTGAAGTTTAGTAGTTTAGGCCACTGAAAAAAACATAGATACTAATACCGGTCAGAGTTACAAGGCTGCCGTAAGGAGCTGCACCCTGCTTTCAGCCCTTCTGGAGCTGGATGGTGTGGAAGGCCTTCCAAGTATTTAGCTTTTCAAACATAGCCTGAAAATTCACAGTCATTGCTTGCCACGGAAGGTGTTTTACAGTGAAACTGTAAAAACAGCTTGCATCCCTTCTGTGCAGACTGAGCATCCTGTAAGCATTTCAGCTGCTGGCAAGTGTCACAGAGTTCTGCTGGAGTCTCTACCTCCTTTGAGGCCTACCTGTCTGCCTCTATACAGCTTTCATATGTCTGAGTTGTGGTTGAGAACAGGCAACTGGTGCAGTTCTGATATACCAGATTATGTCTTATATTGGTCAAAGATTGTGATCAAAGAATAAGTCTGGGGTTCGTTATTTTTTTTTGGGGGGGGGGGAGTGGGGTTTTTGGTGTTTCTGTTTTTTTTTTGTTTGGTTTTGGCAGTGGGTTTGTTTGGATTTAGTTTTGGTTGGTTGATTTTGTTTGGGTTTTTTAGGTTGGGTTTTTTTTTTGCAGGCTTGGAGGTGCACAGTGATCCCAAGATAATGACTTACTTCATAAGCCAGCATGGCTTCTGTGTTAGCTGTTACTGGCTTTTTCTGCCTAATACTGATTCTTGAATTCTGGTTTTAAATATTGAGCATCTAAACTGATCTGAATTCCTGAAACTTTAAAATCTGACTTGGTATCTGACTGACCACAGAGTCTTCAGGGGACAAACTCATGCAAAGAGAGTCTGTACCAACTGTTCTCTTTGTTAACTTGATTTTTTTTTCCCAAGTGACTGGCCAAAAAAAGCCTAGTGGAATTAAAAAGGAAAGGGCAGTGGTAAAGCATTTAGGCTGTTTCAGTCTTGTGTCATTAGTGCATTTGCTGGGACAGGATTTTGAGAAACTAAAATGGAAACTTGGATATTTATTGAGGGGGTTTTATCTTTCTGATTTTCCTTCCTGTGTCTAGCATGGAGTTTCACAAGAGGATTTCCTAAGAGGAAAGCAAGAGAAAAATGTGAGAGATGTAATATATGACATTGCCAGCCAGGCCCATATTCATCTAGAACATGTGAGCTTCCTTCCCTTTTATTTAATTAAGCATAATTGATGCTAGGCTTCACAAAGCATTGTGCATGTGGTGTTAGAAGACTTAGAGCTGCATATTGGACTTCAGATATTTTACTTTTAATTACTTTGAGGGTTTAAGTAAAAAAAAGCAACAAATCAAATCAGCAGAAACCACCACACAAGCCCTTTAAATATTACAGCTACTTCTGTTGGAATATTATCTGTATGTACAGGAGGCAGTTTACTTACAGCCAGATCCAATTGCATGTGTATAAATAGTGCTTAAAAGCCTTATTACTGGGAGGGAAAATTCAAGCAGACTTTTCTAAATGCAGCTATGTGTTTATGTCTACAACTACATGCATACTTGATGCTTCACTATGAAAAGATGCCACTTCAAAGTAAAGAAATGCCAGATTTATCTCTCCATTTACAACTTTAATATAATCCTCAATTACAGCATTAAGCTGTGATCACAGTATTTTATGCAGTAGAGATGGAAGGGCCCTTCTTGATTTTTCTGAAAGTAAGATGAGGCATGCCTGGTTTCTTCAGTCAGCAATTAGTTGACTAATGTTTTTATTTTTTGATAATAATGTGTAGCCTTTGGCTTTATTTTTAATGCAGACTATTTATAATTTGCATTTAATACATTCCTGTTCATGTCATTTCACCCGATGCCTCAGTTTTTGTTGTCACATGCTCAAGGAAACTGTTTATTTCACTTAGAAGCAGGGAACAGAGTTGAGAAAAATGCAGCATCAGAACTGTCCACGATGTGTCTTTTTTTTATTGCCCACCCCTCAACCCATAATGCACCGTGTATAAAACCCATTGACTTTGGCTGCAACTGTGGCTTTCAAAAATTCCAGTGCTTGGCCTGAAATGCCTCATATCAGGGATGGGAGGCATGGAAAATGAGCAGTGTGTGTTTCTTGTCCAGATGTTTAAGATTTGGTTGATGGTATTGCATGGAAGCTTTGGGCAGAAGCAGGGAGAGAATTTGGTTCTTCAGAGCCTTTCAGCTAATTTAATAATTCCTAGTGCGCCGGTGCCCTGGCTCCCAACATGCCAAACCAGCTTCTGAAGAGAACAGGCAAAACCTTGCCCCCCCTTCTTCCCACTCCGTTCCTAGAGCCCTGCCCATGTGATGCACTGGGAGGGTCCCATGGAAAATCTGCAGTGTGATCATGTAATTAGAGACTACACAGAAAAAGTATAAACACAAGAAAGCAGATTAGGGCAGCATTAGCATTTTATTCAGCTGAATGTTGATCTTGGCAACGCTGCCCCCCCCCCCTTTTTTTTAATGGATGGGTTCTATCATCTTAGTTAAAATACGAAAAATCCTGTGTGAATACATGCTTCCAGCCTCCAGCATCATCAGCGAAGAGTAAGTGACAGTGCAAGATCTCTAGAGTGTTCAAACCACTTGAACTGGCAATAACTGGCAGTAATAACAGGGTATTAACCTCCTTGATAATCGGATGGTCTTTGTTAATGCAAGGATAAAGATACTTTCTCCCCTAATGGATTAAATAGGCTTTTGCTGGCAACGTTTGCTGGGTATTTCAGGACTTTAGGTGAATGTAATGGGCTGCTGCCTCTGAATGCATGTATTCTCCTGTATAAAATCACTGTCTTGTTTTGACTGAGGGTCTTCTCAGCCATTTACGCTCTGTCTTGGTTGGAATTTCAGGGTAGGGTAAAGTTTAAACTTGCAGAGAGGTTTCAACAATCTCAGCATTTATTTCACAGACCACATAGTTTGGAGGATGAGGGTAACAGTTACCAGCCCCATTTCACAGTCAGAAGAAATATAATCCTCATATGCTAAGTCTCAGCAATATTATATGAAGTATATTGTAATGTGGCACTTCGTGCACTGAGGTTTAGTTTCTGACATGTGGTCAGCTCTTCTTGATACTGCGACTGATGACCAGCAGAGGGCAAAGTAAGGTAAGGAAGATTGCAGTTTTCTTTAGGAAGTGTGTGGTTTATTAGAATAAAAGCATATAATAAAAGTGCTCTGTCAGTCCTACAATGATCCCTTCAGAAGCCTGCATATACATTTACATGTTCCACCTCTTTCTTTTAAGCATCCCTCCTTTTTGCTTTTTACATTTACCTCAATTATGCTAGATCATTATGGACTCAAATTTACCAAGGAGGGGAGGGTTAAACTGTATTTATTAAATCAGATGCAACTTGGAACTTTGTTGGAATAAGGGATGCTAATTTACATTAGTTTATTATATGTAAACTGTAAGATTGGCAAACCATACAAGAATTCTAGTAGGCCTCTCCCAGTATTGCATATATTTGTAATTCCTTTTGTATACAGTGAGGGATGGTGCTGGCTTGCACGTAATGAAAAATTATAGTTTCAGTATGTCAAAATAAAGAGGGACAGAGCCTGTAATGCAGTCTGTTGCCTCTAACCATTATATATAGTACTTGATGTTTAATGTGATGTGTTAAATTCTCCTTCTAAGTATGTTTGGTTTTGTTTTTCTTTCTCCCACCTTACCCCATTTACTTCCAGGCTAGATCTTTCAGTAAGAAAGTTCCTGTGAAGGCATATCCTGCTTTTTTCTGTACGGTGGGTGTGATACAATGCACTCTTTAAGTGATGGACTCCTTTCTGTGCTAGTATGTTTGTGAAGAGCATGAAATTGAGCATGGGTAACTAATGCTTCCTGTGTCTGTCTGGGGGAGGATGTAATGTGAAAATTGTAATGCCTGCTTGAGGAACCTCATGGTTTTGATCAACGCTTCTAATCCTTCTGTAACTACATCATTGCACCCAAGATGTCTGCATATTCATAGACCATTGTTCTGATGCAGGGGCCCAATAATCTTATCTATTTTTAGAATTTGCTGTTTGGTCTAATAAAGGATAATGCTTCTTTTCACAAAACCTGCTTTTTATATATCCTTTAAATGTGATGGTTATGCTACTGTTTAATAAAACAGGCAGATCATCAGGCCTTTTTGCATTTCCTCATTTGGTTTCATGTATTGCTTTTTAAACTTAATGCCCATTTTGTTGTGTGCACGATATGGATTAACCTTTTTTTTTCTTTTCTAGGTCGCTTTAGATGATTATTTATGTAATGTGCGAAAAGTGGACTTCAATATATTTCATCCAAGCTTACAAAGAAAGAGTGCATTATTACCATTGCATTTATATATTAGATCTTGGAAAAAAATATATTAAAGGTTTGGGTTTTTTTAATATGAGTTCAGAGTGCTGAGTTTTTTCTTTAATGCCGTAATTTTATAGAATTGTTAAGTGTGTAACTTCACACTTCCACAAAGTGGAGTTCATGGGAAACAGCAGATGCACATGAACTGTAGCTGTCAGCTTGCTGGCACTAGTTAAGTTCGTTCTTGGAATATTAGGCTGATATCTCTGCTTCACATGTCTGCCAAGTCATATGTCCCTGTCTGAGATTATACTTTTCTTGTCTTTCCTATAGTAACAGCAATATGACAGAATTCTTCTTGGACAAATTGTGTGCTAATGGATACTTCTGACAGTTCTGACACTTTACTGAGGAAAAAATAAAAAGACTGCTTTGTTTGTGCCCAAAAGCAGTTACAGTGAATGCTTTATAATCAGTTAAGCAATTCTGTTTAGTGCAAGGAGCAGACTTCTTGCAAGTATTAATGATGCTTTATAGTTGGAGGAATGAGCACATATATTTGAATGCAAGAAAACTGTCAGAAAAAGCTTAAGCTGTTTCAATTATGTAGAATTTCAGACTGGTGAAATAGAGCTGTAGTACAGAAATCGGTTAAATGTGTGTTGAAATTGAGTGTTAAAATGACTATAGGTAGTGGGAGGATAGCTTTGCAGCATAGGAAGAGAACCCTAACACTGTTTATCTGCAGCTCAGCCGAAGGGTTTTTCACTCTGCTCTTGGCTTGGCTGTATCTTCCTCCTGGCCTCTTGTCTCACAGCTACCATTTCAGTGTGGGTTTGACTGCTGCTTTGTTCATATTCACCATGCTGCTCAGGATACTCTCCTACATGGCTTCTGTGAATTCCTTTCCTTCGGTACTGTGAAGAAACATATTCCTGAATGTTCCAGGTCATTTGAGTCCTCCCTATGTAAAGATACTTCTCTGTATCTTTGGTGGGAAATTAGTGGGAGTGTTGTACTCTGTGCCTCTTAGGATCAAGGTAAATGTTTCTGTTTGAATTGGTTTTTGGTAAAGTCATACTTCCAAACATCCAACTTGATTCAGCTGCCCAAATCTGGTAGCTTATTCTGCCATCATCCTTGTTCTAGTAAACAGCTGCTTTTCCCAGAGAATTGTGTCTTTAATCGGGGTTAATCTCTCCAGATGCTTGGTTGCATAACAGCATCCTGTATTTTAAGTGTACAGTGCCTCATCATGAACTTCTGAGAACAAGAATCATGGCTTTTTTTTAATCACAGAAACTGTCAGGATGGTAGAAATCTTAGGAACCCAACATTAAATCCTTCATTTGGTGGTTTTATTTTACATGTCTGAAGTTAGTTTGTGATACTAGTTAATTCTGCAGTTTCCTATTTCCAAGTAAGACATTTGTCTTTGAATATGTTCAACTCAGGATCTTGGTTTCTGTATTATTAGAAGTGTAATAATCAGGGTTGTTAGGAACCTTGAAAAACCTGTGTATACTGTACTGGGAGAATCCTGGCTGTTTTCTAAAAGTAAAATCTCAACAGGCTCCATCCACTTCTCAGGTCAGCTCCTATATCTTATCATTGGGGTTCTTGGGTGTGGCAAAGACTGGTAAAAAGAAAACATTTCCTTCCTAAGCAGGCATGGCAGCTATTGCTGTCAAATGAAGAGCAAAGGCCTGGGCTGTATTGCTACTGCCAGGCCAGCTGCACATTCGCTCTGTTTATTTCGTGTTCTGCAGAAAGCATTACAGATGTCTCTTTCTGTTTGGTCCTTGTTTTGTTCCAAGTGTGCTGAGTCAGGACAATAGTGGCAGCCCTCTGTCCTCTCAAAAGGAATCGCTCTCCTGTAAAGTGAACTTTTGGCAGGAACACAGTACAATAAGGAGAAGGAGAAGAGAAAGCGTGTAGTATCTCCAGTGCATCGAGTTGCTACAGTGATATCTTGCTTGCAGGCCACAAGGTCAGCACTTAGCTTTGGTGTTGAAGTGGAACAAATCTTGACAGTGTGCTTAAAAAGACATAAGTAGAAGGGCTGATTTGTTGTAGTGTAGAAAAGAAGCCATGTGATGCAGTGAAAGGTTAGCAGAGAGACTTAGTAAACAGGATATGGAATAAATAAGTTCAAGTTATGACTTCAGTCACAAGAGAGTTTTGGGTGACCTCAGAAAGTAAAGCAGCACTTTGAATTGCAAGTGACAGAAGGCTGCTTGAATAAGCAATCTGTCTCCTTTGCAACCTTCAGAGAGCAGCTCTCTCTTGGATGGCTGTGCCTGATTCTGCCTTAGGGACAATGTTGTGAGCAGAGGTATTAAATACCTGTCAAACAAGGTAGTCTTTATTTGTCTGCTTTCACTAGTATCATCTCCGTTTTATTTCTCTATAGCAGTTCTGATAATTTGTAATTCTACATCTTACGAAAATTCATCTTATTTTTCCTTTTTGTTGTTGGTTTTGGTTTGTTGGTTTTTTTTTTGTTTACCTGTTGGACCTGACAAATACTTTCTCATACTGGTGCTAACTTACTGGTTATTGCTATCAGAAAAACAAGTAGCAAATCTGTTGCTAGATGCTAATTGCATGCTTGAAAAAAAATTCCCCATCTGGTTAAGCCTGGCCCATGTAAAGCTGCAGTCTTGCAGGAGTCCTCCTCAGTGACCTTATGTGTTTTGTATATCTTTGATCTATATGGTCTTGCTTGCTTTTGGTTAAGCACAGAATTGTATGTCTTTCTCTTCAGAGCACTTCACTGGAGTCTGTTCTAGAATCTCTTAGACATGCAAGCGTAAGGTAGCAAAATATAGGAGTTGTATTAAGTCCTGTAACAGATTTTCATGGTAGGTAACAACTACAGGATCAAAAGACGTGAATTAATAGAAACACATCAGACATCACTTACCTAGTGATCTTGCAGTTTCGTTGGTTTCCCACTTAGACACATAATAGTCTTAGTAAAAAACCAAATGAAATTTCAAGGTAAAAATGCAAAAATCTTAATCATCGCTTGTGAGAAATGTGTCCTTCGCATTGTCCCCGTTTCCCTCACAGCTCAGCATCTCAGTATCTGCGTCTTATTTTGGTCCTCTCTAGTGTCAAAATGTTCCAACAGTGCCAGAAAATGCTTTCCAGGCCTAAACACAGGAACTGCTATACTGCAGAAGGGGAGGGTCATGCACATTCGTCTTTGTGTTTTACAAAGGAAGACACAAGAGGAACCATTTAGACTATTATCAGCAGTCTCCAAATCCAAAAGAGTGAGGATTTTTTTTCCTTGCTGCTCTGATGCCAGGTTAAGAACTACAAAGTTTTAGTTATAAAAGGATTTAGAAGGGGATACAGTGTTATGCCGAATGTTCTCAGAACCTGTTTTCCATTGTGTTTGCTGATAGCAGTGTACTGAAAAATTATGTTTCAGTTGTTAAAACATCTCTTTCTTCAGCTTTCATGATTCTTCTAAGTCTACAGATTTATTTTTTTTTTTAATGTGGTTCAAAGTGGTGATCGTCAACCAGTTTGAATCCACTGAAGTTGATCTCGTAAAAAATTGTGATAACATCCATGGATACGTACATAATGACAAAATACACAAGCAGTCCTTTATGCTTCAGACCATACATTGATTGGTATTTGCCTTTATAGAGAGGCAACAATCCACAAGCTAATGTTCTCTGCCGAAGCAAATGGAGTTCAGCATTCTGCTCCCGTAGGGGCAAATTATATATGCAGTGGGTTGACCTATGGATACTTGTCCTGGGTTCAGCAGTAGCAGTCATGTTTCTCCTTTGTGGTAGCTGGTGCAGTGCTGTGTTTTGACTTCCAGCCTGGGAGCAATGTTGGTGAAACTGATGTTTTCGGTTGTTGCTAAGTGATGTATGTTTACCCTGACCAAGGACTTTGTGAGGCTCATGCTCTGCCAGGGAGGAGGGGAAGCCGTGAGGAAGCAGAGACAGGGTGCCTGACCCAGGCTAGCCAAGGAGGTATTCCATACCACAGCACGTCATGCCCGGGGTGGGGGATAACTGGGAGTTACCCAGAAGGACATGGGCTTCCAGGTGGGACTCGTTTCTTGGCCGGTGGTATCGTATTCTCTTCCCTTGTTATTTTCTAATTGTTGTAGTTGGTGGTAGCGGTGGTGATTTGTGTTGTACATTGGTTGCTGGACTGTTCTTGTCTCAACCCGTAGGAGTTGCACCCTTTCGATCCTCCTCCCCGTTCCTCCGGGAGTGGGGAAGGGGAGAGCCCCGGGGGGGGAGGGGGGGGCCTCGATTGTTGTCAGCCCGGCACCACTCACTGGGAGTGAGTGAACAAGTTACCTGACTGGGTTTAAACCACGACAGTTCTTTCTGGCGCCCAACATGGGGCACGAGGGGTTGAGATAACAGCGGATCTGACTGGATTAATAGTCACTTGTCACAATGCTGATTTATTGGCTCTCAAGGTTGTTCCTCTTGATCTCACAGTTTCAGTATATCGTACCTTACTTCCATCTGGTATTTGCTGTATTAGTGTTTTTCAAGTGTGGGGCTTGGGCTAAGGTTTTTGTCCCATTGTACTTTATGGTAATGACTTGTAATACAATAGAATCATTGATCATGAAACTGATCTGGCTTATGTTCCCAGTGTGGTCACCACCTTTATACTTTGGGAGGTATATAATAGAAGTGCTTAGCAATTGCACATCTTTTTTCTCCTTCTCAGGTGCTCAACCTGTGAAGGAGACATCCTTTTACCCTCCCAGTCGTCCCCCCAGACCATTTACATTTGAGAGTTTTGAATTTTTTGAATGGCCTTTTAATGCTGTTGAGACTTGTTTGCTGATGGTGATGGGAATCACCATGCTAACACGCATACAGAGTGTGTTTTACCCACGACTGATTTCAAGAGTTAAGCAGAGTCAGGTTTGGGTCTTGTCTGGGGTCAAACGACGATGTAGGAGGACCGAGAGATTTTCCCTGAGGCTGGACAGCCATGAGTGGCAGGGTGTGTGGGATAGTATGGGCAAGTATCTAGGTCAGTGGGCCCCTCCAGTACTTTGGAATTTCACTACCGAACAACTGCA